GAATTTCTCTGACATTGGCACATTACAGTGGCTCTTGAGAACGTTGCCAACATGATCAGACTGATTTCAAACCCACAGTTATTAAAATTAAGGACCAATTATAAGTAAATAACCTGCGGACAGAACACCTGTTCAGTATCCATGACATCATTCTTGTCCTGGAGGACTGAACACGCTGTATGTCATTAACCCTCTGGTGAGGCTCCGGCTGACCACAACAAATACACAACATCTAATTATAATGATTATCCATTACACTGGGAGAGGTCAACCGCCATTACTTTCCATCTCAATCAAAGCCCTTTTAGCACATGAAGCTAGCAGGTGATCAGGCTCCAAGAGTGTGGAGAAAAGTGGAACAGGTGTGGTATTTAAAATCGATATCCGCTGGCATTATGAATATGGTAATACGCTCAGCAAGGCGGCAGGCAGGCAGGCAGCTCATGCAGATGTAACTCCCAGAGGGGCCAAAAGCAAATGAGGTGTGCCCGCCCGCTATACTGCAGTTTCATCTGGCTCTAGAAATAACAGCACAACCCCATTGTACCTCCAATCTATCACCCCCCGGTCTGCGGGAGGTATCAGTGGGGGAAAAGGCACGCTGAGGGGAGAGGAGAGGCTAATTTATTAGGATGTGAGCAGAGCAGGTGATTTGTCCAGAATGACAGAGTTAATTAATATATAGGGACTTAAATTGTCTGTCTTGTAGATGATCATTTCACCCTCTCTCCTCTCTCACTGCTCTGCTGCTTTGCTCGCATACAGAGTGATAAAAGCCGACTAGCTGCTAACAGATACCGTGGAAGAGGGGCGAGAAGTAGGAGACGTTAGAGAGTGCTCACACAGATTCCACATGGGATTGCTACTTATTCCTGACTCCACAAAAAATAATTGTAGAAAAGCTCCACTATGCAGCCTGTCGCTGATCCAGTCCACATCTTTTGCTACCAGCTGGATGAAGAAAATCGAGCAATTTCAAAAAAGGGCTTCTAAAAACCCGCCTTACAGCATATTCCTCTTCACCCGCTTTTATCCTCTTCATGAATAGATATTACATGTAAGAGTGTGTGCCTGAGAAAAGATGCTATTTGTATTTTGAATATAGTTTACTCTAAGCTGATATTAATAAGTCACTTGTGTGTTTGGAGATAATATAATCACATACACCACTACCAACCAACTGCACTTACACACACAGTGAATTCACACAGACACACTAATTACTGTCTCTCACTTATTCGCTCCTTTTGCTCTACCTCACTATCCTCTGTTATCCTTTTTTTCACCCCAACGCTGCAGTTTAAATTGCCTCAACTACACCTGCACATCCTTTCTGATGATTCAGTCATCAGGCAGGCTAACATCCCCCCCTAACTCGATTGATGTTTGCACAAACAGGCATCCTATTAGGACAAGTGGTGCTGAATGGGAGAGTGAGTTATCGTCACATTACTGCCCTGGGAGACTGAGAGGGGACAGATGGTTTTGTTGCCACTGCTTAATGAAGTGTTGTGAATTAGTTGGGGTGTGCTGAGAGGGTCTTGATTGTCGCATCCATGGGAGATGGAGTGTCAAGGGTTAACAAGAGCAGAAGAGGAGGTAGGCAGTTTGCTTTGATATAGTTTCTTTTTTCTTGTCAGGAAGTGCGTAATGAGAACTAACTATTATGTTGCTGCTTATATTGAAAATGAGAAAAACTGACTGACAAACATGACATAAAATTACATAGTAACAATAAGAGGAGGCAAAGGTGCACTTTTCTAAAAACATTTTACAGCATTTTTGCATTATTTTCCTGAGAAAAAAGACAGACACACCTGAAAGAAGTCTTTCTCAAGGTCTACTACAGTCAGAGTAAAAAATAAGAGTTTTGAAATTCAATCACAGTGTACAGAAAGTAAACAGTGGCGCCTGAAAGACACTTCTGTTGTCAGTTTCTTTTGCAAAGCTAACGGAACATCATGCTTTCTTCTGGAGACGTTTAAAGTTAAAACGCTTCTATTTTCAAATCGTCCTTTTGAATTAAGTTAAAAAAAATCTCTGCTGAAAATAACAACCAAATATTTTGCCTCTGTGTTTTTATGCTGAGTGGGGAATCTCTCACATCTATGAAGGTGTTGGCCATTCTTGATGGTTGACCTTGTCACCACAAGTTCCCCCTCTCATCTGAGTTCACTACATAATTTCACTCTGCAGTTCAGTTTTGCTCTTTGTCTGTTTCTTAATACTTCTTTGAATACATTTTTGGCCATATTAAGTCATATTAAGGTTTAAAGTACATCATTTGCATTAAATGGATATGCTGAGGATTTGTCTCACCTGTGTTTTTGTCTGCATTCACTACAGGTGACAATATATAAGTTTGTAATTCATACCTGTCTAAAAGTCCAATATTTTGCATCCCTATCCCTAAACAGTCCAAATTATCAACAAAAATCAATTCTCACTATTGTTAATTCTTAAGTGTGATGAATGCAATCATATATATTCAATAGTTTTGACTTTTAGAGTTATTATTCAAATAAATAAACTATAAAAAACCTGTGCTTAGGAAAAAAAAGAGGTTTATTTGAGACCTAAATCATGTCACACTTGATGAATAAATAAACACTGGAAGCTCTAAAGATGTAAATCGATCAACCGGGTTAATATCAGTCTTTTTTGTTTGGAAGGCAGTTCAATGACGCATACAAGGAATAAAAATAACTTCTTTCACTTATTTAAAGGTAAAGTATTGGGCCTGTTTGGAAATATAAGCTGCATGTGTGTGTGTGTGTGTGTGTGTGTGTGTGTGTGTGTGTGTGTTGGGGAAGGGGGGGGTTAACTTGGCAGCAAGAGAAACAGCTTATACAAAATAAATATTCAACTTAAGTTTAGAGGAAAACCTGAAAACTTGGCTTAGGCGTAGCTGGGAGGTACTTGTACTTTGGTACTTTACACTTGTGATTAAAATGAAATACTTTTTGCTTGGTGATGCTAAGTTTGTCAAACTCTAATTCAGTCCCACCTTAATAAGTACTAAGCAGCACCCTGTTAGGTTCCTCTCTCTCTCTTGTCAGGAAGGATGAGATAAACTGTTTCACCTTGCGACTGATAATGCGGGGTTGTCATCCTGTCTGCCGTGCCAAACATGGTAATTATGTGCTTTGCTCTTCCCTTTTGTCTCCCAGGATGCTCAGGTGGAAGAAAACAGAGATACAGTGAGATGTTTGTCATTGCTGTTGTACGCCCACTCCTGTCAGATGTCATCTCTAAAGCCTGAAAATGCTGCTCTGTAATAGGTCATATCTACGGTTCTCCATCAGGTCAGGACTGTTGTTGTGTGTTGGTGTGCATGTGTGCTTGCATCCGTGCATGTGTTTTTCTCTTTAAGGTACATCCTTTGTTATGTCTTTGCATGTGTGCGTTTCTCATGCGTGTAATTGTGCATGTAAGCTGCTCCAGCCTGTATCTGTGTGGTTGAAGGCGAAGAAGACATCATGAATTGCGCTTTTATTCTTCTCGGTACAGCTTTATTTACTATAGCCATAGGGAGGATGATGATGATGTGAGCTTGAATGCCAGTGCAAATGCTTAGCAGCACTGCATGCGCTGTCTGTCCTTTTTGGTGAGCAAAGGTATTAAAGTTGGTGAGCGAGCTGTGAGGCAACATGTCTGCGGCTAATCTCTTTAGCATTCTCCTGTTGTGGTGGACTCTGAGACATCCAGTTTGCCTCTGCCAGTGCTCATTAGTGACAACACATCCAAGCTGTGTGGAATATGACTGCAGTGGAGAGGCAAACCACACACACACACACACACACACACGCACGCACGCGCGCACGCACGCACACACGCACGCACACGCAGGTACTTGTGCAAAAGTCGTCATGATATTTTTTAACCACAAGCTTGACAATAAATAGTGTTTCTCGAACTTTTCTCTGCAGAGCCATGAAAACCCAATCCATTGTGGCTCAAAACCAAGTAGAGCAGACTCCGATGACATCAGTGAGACATCTGTGTCAAAAACAACCTGACACTTGACTGAAAACCAGCAAATCCACTGCCACTAAGTTTTAAAACTGGTTTCATGGAGGGATTTCTAAGACCCACTTGAATCACTGAAGCAATAATGCTCGACAAATCCTCCAAAAAACTGAAGAACTTCATGCTGCAGGTTAGACTGTGCTTGTTTTTCGGTTTTGGCATGTTAATGTCATTTTTCTGTCCTGTTCTTTACGATAACTGCAACCAAATGACCCTGAAGTGTGAGTTATTACGATAACCTACGAGAAGCCAAGTGAATTCAGTTACTTGGTTATTGATCAACAAGGTTTTCAGATTGGCTCCCTCTCTCCCCTTCACTGGTATCTCCACCCTTCTCTCTCTCTCTCTCTCTCTCTGACACACACGCTCACAAACTCTGTATGTGTATACAGAGAGAGGGAGAATGACTGCAAACACAAACAGAGGAGGAATATGCAGAAACTAAGAACGTGAAAACTTAACGTCATTAGGACACAAATGTAAGAGGACAGAATCAGACCTACCAGCAGGCAAAATGTCACAGAGTTGAAGTGTACAAGGAAGGACAGAGGAGACAGCTAAAGGAGACATGAAGAGACAGGCAGACCAACAGACAGACTGACAGACGACACAGAGCAGTCAACTCACCGGCAGTGGTCAGTCCTTCAGGGTTGGCGCTCAGCTCCCTCATGTCAACCACGCAGTGTCCCAGTTGCTGAGTACCGTCCTCCATCTGTCCGGCTTGTCCCTCTCTTTTCCCTCCACCTCCTCTCCCACCTCCTCCTCCACGAAACACCACAGTCCAGTCCAGGTCCCCGGTTTCACTCACAGCCTGCCAGGCAGAAAAGCTGTCGCAAAGATAGCAATCCTGCTCGGCTCGCTATTCCTTGTTGCCTCACAGCTCGCTCTCCAGCAGCATTAAAAATGCCTTTTGGAAACTAATACAGGAGAGGGAGAGAGGAACAAGCAGGGGACCTGGAGAGGTGTTGGGAGGAAGAGAAAGAGAGAGAGAGAGAGAGAGAGAGAGGGAGGGAGAGAGGGAGAGCGATGAGGGAGTGAGACTCGGAATAAAAGAGAAAAGAGGACAGAATTGATGTTATGTGCGATACACAGCTCAATCCATCAATCTCGGGCTGTCAGTGGGGGACCTAGAGCGGTCGAGAAAGCGCTGCAACACAGTCAGAGAGACACAACTCTGCTCCTCCTCTCTCTCTTTCTCTCTCTCCTTCCTTTTCTCCTCTCACTGCGCAGCCAATGCTGCATCCAGACATGGCAGCAGGGGTCCCTCTGATTTCTGACATCCGTCTCCCTCCCCCTGCTCCATCCCCTCCCGCCGATTCACCACCTCTTCTCTTTTCCTTTTCCCACAGAAATAAAATTAACAAGCATCTGACCGCTGTGTGCCATACAGTGGAGCCAGCTTCACACAGTTTGTGATTTTTTTTGAAGTTACATATGGTAAGTGGGGAGAGGAGGAAGGGGGAGGCTTCACAGTGCAGCGACTTGTTTTTTGAGCAGCGTGATGTAATTGCTGTGAGTGACAAGACACAGCAAGTTCACTGAGATTACTGATAAACGACAAGTTGTCTCTTTAAGAAAAAAAAACATCTAGTTCACTGAGTACATCTGTGCTGGACATCTGCAAACCCCTGGAAGATGAGGGAGCAAAATAAGATGGTGTTCTGATCAGCAATTACTTACAATGACAAGTTACAAAGTCTGAATAATGCGGCTCTACTCCTCTCCCATTCCTTTAATTTATCTGTTGTTACTGCCTCTCCACCCACTCATACTGTGAAGGTTATTGTTAGTTATTTGGCCACCAAGGCCATGATGCTACAGAAAGACCACATCTAAAATCAATGTTAATTTATACCCTGCTGAATCGAGAGGGTGTAGCGGTCTGAGCTTATGCTCAATAATAAAGACACAGAGATGGCGGGAGCCTTAGAATCTTAAAGGAGGGGAACACCCACAGAATTCATTATGCAATGCCAAGAAACACAGCATAACCCTGAAAGGAAGGGATGGAAAAGTTGAGAGAGAAGGATGTCACAAAAACTGATTGATGATGGGTCTAATCTCTTAAAAAAGAGCTTCAAATAAGTGCCTATAATTATCTTTTATTCCACTTTTATATCCATAATAGTGACTATCTTATAATAAGGTTGCAGAACCACTGCTCCCTTGCTCCTAATGGTCATTTTCCCCAGCCCTGTACATATGAGTTAAAAGAGGAAGTTGCATGGATTTTCAAATTACAGACAATACAAGTAACTGATTAAAAAGAGAGGGATTTATTGGAATGAAAAAAGAATTATTGCATGGCCAATAAACTCCTGTATAGAGGTGTCACGGTGAGGAAATCCCCCCTGCAACGTCTTAGCGTGGCTCAATACAGATATGCAGTAATATTGCACAAAACAAAATGGAAAAAATGTGCACTTTCTTGGCACAGCATGATAGCATTTCATCTACTTACACTTGCAGCAGTTTCTATCATCTTTACTCATGTTGTTTTCTTCTGTCTACAGTATTTCTTGTCTTGGACTTACTCTTGAATTGACTCGAGTTGTTTTTAAGTGTGTTAAAGGACTGGCCCCTCGAGCGATGTCTCAGATTTTCAAGACAGATAATTGTAAGCCAATCATCTCTCTTGGCACAAGGTACAAACCTATGGAATTCTCTACCATCAGAAATTAAAACATTGGCTTAAGCAGCAGCAGAAATGTCAACATTAACTTCTCTCAAGTCACCGTCAATATAGCACTTTATAAATGTTTAGTGTTAAATTTAACTTGTGTAATTGTTTAACCTAACTTTTATCGATGTGTTTATTTATTCGTATCACCTAGCCGTTCACTCTATTATCCACTGTAGTTGTATTATTGCATTTATAGTATATTTTATCCGTCTTGTTTGCATCACATTTCCCATTTCTTGTGGCAATGTTGTATGTATTGTCCATTTCTTGTGGTAATGTTGTATTAAAATAAATAAATAAATGTGAGTCACTGTCAAATGACATTGTAACACTGTAAAAAGGTCCAAAGGGATTTTTACTCAAAAACTGATTGTCAGAACTTTGTAATTTCGCTCCAGTTTTCTTAACATTATCATTTACGCATTACTTGAATTTACTGCAGGACCACAGATAGAAGTACACCAAAGTGGGTAGTATGTGTTGGTCACGAAGGGCGAAAAACAGCTCTAAGACCCATTTGGGAGCTGAGAAAGTCAGATCTTGTTAAGCCAAGTGATCTGGGTCACTCAAAACACTGAATTCTCCTCACAACATCATTTACCCTGAGAAAGAGGAAAACATCCAAACCCTGCCAGATAACTTCAGAAATATCATATGGATCATATGTCAAATGCTGAAGAGCTGGTTTCTCTATTATAAAAAATGGCACCAGCTCCTCCTCCAAATACTGTAAAACTCCCTGTGAGGTGTTTGTGTGTGGCAATTCCACTGCTGTCTGTGGTAAGTGAAGCAAAGGCTTCACTGATTGCAGGCAGTTGGTTGGCATGAGTTGCCAGAGTCTGTGTTGGAAGGGGCCGCAGCTTCAACTTGATAGCTTAATGGTAACTTGAAACCCCAAATAAGATGTACCTCCTCCATTCACTGGGGTCTTTTTTGGTACAGATTTTAGATATTGCTTCATCTAAATTAGCTGGTACTCCTTTTTCATGACAGCTTCAATCTTCTCAAAAGAGAAAACTTACTTTTATTTTAGATAACTGTACAGTTTCTATGGTTTCCACCATTATTTAACCTCAGTTTGGGGTTGCAGTTGTGCGGTCGGAAGCTTGTTAACATTTCAATACAGCATTTTGTATTCATTTATACAAATTATCAAAAATCAATACAGAAATGAATTAAGAGATAATAAAATGACTTGCAGTAGACCAAAGAGGAAATCCACTCATCCTATCGTTTGGACAGGCTATATGAGATTGTGGATCTCACAATGAAATTAATTCAATTTCAGGCTTCAAATGTTTGTTTGTTTGTTTTTTTACCTCTTTGAATTTAAAGAGAGTCCTCTCCTCAAACAACATAACTAGCCTTTTAGGAAGTGTAGCAGCCAAACCCTAGATGCAGGCCACTGGGGTTACAGACCCACAACGGGATCATATGCTTTCTTGTGGCGGCAGGTCTGTATCGGGGTTGGTGCCAAAAACCTAAATGAAGATAAATTGGTCCCTGCAGGAGCAATAAGACAGAAGATGAATCCACTCTGCACAAGGAGCTTTCTTCCTCACTTTCCACTACTCCCTCCATCCTTATCCCCCCCATCCCTCTATTGGCACATTCTCCTTGTTTTCCACCCACTTTACTCCCTAAAACCATCAAGATGAATGTTGTCGTCTTCTGTCTTAATGAAAATGCGCTGGCACACACATACACAAACACACCGACGTGCCGGCGTGTTCACACACAACACGGTGGTGAGGCGAGGTCTGTGGAGCAAACCATTAACATTCTAATACGTTTCTTTTAAAGGCGACATGTGTTGTCTTATTAAAGCCTGACTGATAGAGGGGGCCGGGGAAAATCAATAGACAATGCACTGGAGATGTAGAATAGTGCGAGTACACGAAGGAGAAGAGAGGAGAGGAAAATAAACATGCCCTTTTTAGCTATTCAAGGCCCAAAGCCCAGAGAATAGATCCTCACATTTACCCATTCCAATAGCACTCGAAGCCCATTAGAATTTGTGATACACTCCTTCACAGTATTAACTGAGGAGAGCAAATAGCTTGATTCCCGGTTGAAACTGAACTGAGTGTTACATCTGCCAAGGCCAGAGTATGTCCACTGATTAAAAAATAGTACACCTTCACTTCATGTACATCGTTATATGCCTTGGAAGCTACTTTTGTTGAATTTCAAACATCTTTTGTGATCTGACGCACTTTTTCTTGCTGCAGAGAACAGCATGCTGAATGTGGAAAAAACAACAACAATGAAGACAACATAAAAGTCTTCACCTCCCAGACAGCTACCCCTGCTGGGTGCCCTTTCTTTGATTTTAACATGTTTCCAACATAAATACATAAAACGGCAGAGAAGCAAGTCGCTGCACACACTGGGTGACAGGACCAATAATGAGGATTTTGACATGCCTAAAAGTGTAGACGGTAAGGTAAAAATCACAGTCTTTCATTGGATTTCTTGGTTTTAATGCCAGGTAAAACAAGTAGAGTCAACTCAGCTATAAAAGGTTACACTTGCTGTCTGCAGTTGTTTCCATTGTCTGCGGTTAAATGATAAAACAATTCTGCCGATGCAGGCTGCAGATCTCTTACACACATTTCTTATTGGATATATACACTTTGTTAGATAACCGTTTCACTCATTGAACACAAACTTTGAATCACAGCAGACATGAACAGTATCAGCCTGTAACATTTACCACTAATGAAAAGCTAAATGTGTAGACTGAAAAACACTGTGAGAGGAGGACGACGTTCAAAATGAAAGAATGAGACAACAGGGACAAGTCAAAGCTCGATGTATGAGCCTTTATACCGTAGTTGATTTTATCGTTCTGGCTGTACACTGTCAGCAGGACAGTGTACATTTTGTTGTTTCAAAAGGAGGCCTCTTTATGTTTTAAGTATTTAGAGTTTGAAATCCTCACTCAGTACAAAGAAAAGATTGTTAATATAAATAAATAAATAAAGTTTGGTTAATATGCCTAAATGGAGAGTTTTTCTGACTAAAAACACAAGACAGGATAGTGACACAACATGTAGAGGGTCCATATCTATGTTCCCACAGCCTTATGTTCCCACAGTCCTATAATCCCATATTTGAGATTTATCACACGGTGCATGTTCTGCTGCGACGGCACCTCCGTGTAAATACGTGTGGAAAGATGTCTATGGGTCTGATGTTATGTGTACAAAAGAGTTAATGTACAGAGGTGGAAACAATTATCCTTGTAAAGGACGATAAAAACTATACCCCCTAAGTATCCAGTACGATCTACACATTGTTATTGTCACCCAGTAATATGTTAGAAATGTTAGAAACGTCGGAACAAAGGAATGACCTCCGTGGGCGATGAAACTGGAAGTATGAAATTATTGGCTGCATTAAGGGCTGGGCAATAAAACAATAACGATATATATCGAAAATTATTTTCCCTCGATATCAATATAAAACATGGCTAATATGCTTTTTGATGACAGGCATTCTGCCATGTTTTGGTAGACTATACGAATAGCCAATA